TTGGGCAACGGGACTGTCTGCTGGTGAAGGAGAGTGGACTCTAGATTACTCTTTCTTCAAGGTCTCGATTGATCTTACTGATGCTGGCCATGGTGGGTTTTGCTATTAGTTTTTTTTTTTTTTTTTTTTTTTTTTTTTTTTTTTTCATTCTAGGAAGTTCACAACAGTCTTTCTTCTTTCTTGTGTTGAATAGAGAGTATGGGTGTGTTGGTGTTTTGTAACTATTAAATTCATGGGTTTTCTCCTTGGTGGGTTTACAGAGCATATGCAAGAGATTTTAGGGTTGCTGTTCAACTACATTCAGCTATTACAACAGACTGGTGTTTGCCAGTGGATTTTTGATGAGGTATAGATACATTAATTGTACGACTCATTCTAATATATTGCTACTGATATGCTAAGATTGTAGTTTCCCTTTTTTCTTCATTTTTTGACCTTGTGACTTTAATATTGCTAATACATCGTTTATTGTTATTGAAGCTCTCAGCTATTTGTGAGACGAAATTTCATTACCAAGACAAAATACCACCAATGTCCTATATAGTGGATATTGCATCAAACATGCAGGTAATAATTTAGCTCTTTCTCTTTTTGTCTAAGCTTTATTTTTTATACATGCTTAGCTCTCTTACCATGTCATCAATCATTCCTTCAATAAATCGTGCATATGAAGTTATGCAATGTGACTAAAGTTTTGTAGTTTATATCTTTAAAGCGCAAATCTAAGCTCACGGCTAAGAAATAATAGTTCAAACCTAAGCTCATGGCTAAGAAATAATAGTTCTTTTAAAATCTTCTGTATTCTTTGCAATTACTCTTCAGATATATCCGACCAAGGATTGGCTGGTTGGATCTTCACTGCCTACTAAATTTAATCCAGCTATTGTACAAAAGGTTGTAGATGAGCTTTCTCCTAGTAATGTTCGGTAAGTCTGTGGTTTCGAGAGTCTTACTTTGCATACATAAAACTGATGGGTAGCTGCCTATTATACACTAAACTTATAATGAAATCATGGGGTTTCGCCTAAGCTAATTTTACATTTGCTCCATTTATTCTGAAAATAACTGAGGATGGCATTTAAGGCTTTTTTGCTATTGATATATGATAGCTAGTTTATGTATTATTCCCATTAGCTTTTCTGCAGTTTACTTTGACCATTTCCGGCATGTTATGAAAATTTACTTGTTAAAGCACTGGAATTTAGACACGGCTCGGAGTTGTTTCCAAAGAATCTTGACAATGCCATTGCTTTTGTAGAATTTTTTGGGAATCACAGAAATTTGAAGGACAAACTGATAAGGCTGAGCCATGGTATAACACTGCCTATTCTCTTGAGAAGATAACCAGCTCCACCATCCAGGTTCACTTTTTGATATATTATACTAGCTCGAAATGATTCATTTATTTTTCTAGTCGTACTACCTCCGCTTCAATTTTGTTTGAACAATTTTTTTTTCCCTTAATATCTTTTCGGGTTTATGTAAAATGATTACAGGAATGGGTGCAGTCTGCTCCTGATGTACATCTGCATTTACCAGCGCCTAATGTCTTTATTCCTACGGATTTGTCATTAAAGGATGCTAACGACAAGGTTCAATTTCATGGCATAAATTAGAAGAATTTTAAATTTTTTTAATGCATGAAGCGGCATCTTATATGATCAAGTACTGGAACAGGAAACCGTTCCAGTTTTGTTGAGAAAGACGCCTTTCTCAAGATTGTGGTACAAGCCAGATACAATGTTCTCGAAACCGAAGGCATATGTTAAGATGGATTTCAACTGCCCACTTGCAGTCAGCTCTCCTGACGCGGCAGTTCTTACTGATATTTTTACACGATTGCTGATGGACTATTTGAATGAATACGGTAAGATTTGGTTGATACATCTCTCAGTATTTTCCATTCAACTAGGTGTTTTCTCTAGGCTTTAGTTCAGAGAACTCTGTTCCACTTAAGTGGAACCGAGCTTCTGAAATTGGTAAATTTGTCCATTAAGCACCAAAACTTGTCTTATGAAAAATATTTCCGTATTACTTGCTGTTGACTGAGCATTTATTGTTGCTTTTGACAATGTCATCACTGCTTTCTAGTTTTCTGCTCTGTTTTACATCTTCGTTGTATGTCTCGAAGACAAATGAAAAATCGTATAGATAAGTAAAATAAAATGTTTTTGAGTAAAGACAGAAAGCTTCTATTTTGATAAAACTCTCCCATCACTCTTTACGTCTTCTATGTTGTAGCTTATTATGCACAAGTTGCTGGTCTTTACTATGGAGTGAGCCTTTCGGACAATGGTTTCGAGGTGAGTTTGACATTTACCTCATCTTCATTACACACGTTTGCTCATCTTTTACTGAATGCTTTTTCTCTATTTTTTTCCTGACTACCTCTTTTTGTTCCCAGTTGACCCTTCTTGGTTATAATCACAAATTGAGGATCTTGCTGGAAACTGTTGTCGGAAAGATAGCAAATTTTGAAGTTAAACCTGACAGATTTGCTGTTATCAAGGTAACCATGTCAGACTTCGTCTCTTTTTATAACTTCACTTAATGGTTGAACGACGTCCTCTATACCAGAATAATTGAATCTGTGTTATTTTGTATCCGTATTACTAGGAAACTGTCACAAAGGAGTATCAAAATTACAAATTTCGACAGCCATATCACCAAGCAATGTATTACTGCTCACTGATATTACAAGATCAAACTTGGCCTTGGACAGAGGAACTGGATGTCCTTTCTCATTTGGAAGCTGAAGACGTAGCTAAGTTTGTTCCAATGTTGTTATCAAGGACATTTATTGAGTGTTATATAGCAGGTATCAACATTTTGTGTTTATTTATTTATTTTGCATGATCTTCTTTGGTTGTGATGTTTTCTGTTTTTGTCTATGTCTTCTTCTTTTTCCGGAAGCTGAATACTTACATACTTCATTTCAGGTAATGTGGAGAATATTGAAGCTGAGTCAATGGTCAAACATATTGAAGATGTTCTTTTTAACGATCCAAAGCCGATTTGCCGACCTTTGTTCCCGTCCCAGCACCTCACTAATAGGGTTGTCAAGCTCGGAGAAGGAATGAGGTATTTCTACCACCAAGATGGCTCAAACCCCAGTGATGAAAATTCTGCTCTAGTGCACTATATTCAGGTAATTCCTTATTCAGATTTAGAAGGTAGCTTTGACATTTATTCTTGGTATTGCCCAATTTTTACATCTTCTTTGGAGTTTCTTCGTGTAGATGTCTCGGTAATATCTTAGAACATATTGGCAGATATCATATTGTTTTGGCTAACTGTAACTTTGGTTGCCACAAACAGGTTCATAGAGATGACTTTGCCATGAATATTAAACTTCAGCTATTCGGTCTCGTTGCAAAGCAAGCCACCTTTCACCAACTTAGAACAGTCGAGCAACTTGGTTATATCACTGCACTTGCTCAGAGGTACATTGGAATTTTCCTTGTGTTTCCTAATATAATCCCCTGAATTCTGTTTAATTGCGCTTTTTTTTTTTGCAACTTAGGAACGATTCTGGCATCTATGGTGTACAGTTCATTATCCAGTCCTCAGTTAAGGTACCAAACCGTCCAGCCATCTCTGTCATTTTTTTTTTCTAATTAAGGCTCATCTCCTTAAATTCTTAGAGGGTTTAATTTTTAATAGGGTCCTGGACATATTGATTCGAGGGTGGAGTCATTACTGAAGAACTTTGAGAGTAAACTTTATGAGATGAGTGATGAAGATTTCAAGGTAAGATGGATCAACCAATTAATTATACATCTCAGTTGATCTAGCTATGCAATATGATCATCATCCAGAGCTATTTAACTGATATGAGTTACTCTTCCTCTAGAGCAATGTAACAGCTTTGATAGACATGAAGCTTGAAAAACACAAAAACTTGAAGGAGGAATCCCGGTTTTACTGGCGAGAGATTCAAAGTGGAACACTCAAATTCAACCGTAAAGAGGCAGAGGTACATGGAACAGCTTCCTTTTCCTGCTATATTTTCTCATAAACTAAGAAAACCGCCTCCCGAATCAACCACCTGGTTGATCCATGACTCATGCATATATATATTTCCTCGAATAGTTGTATCACTTCTATGATTAAGTACAAGTTGGTTTGAAGGTTTTGAAAGTGACTGATCGATGAGAGAATGGGGTTATTTTGTGGGCAGGTCGCTGCGTTGAAGCAGCTTCAGAAGCAAGAGTTGATAGATTTCTTCGACGAATACATAAAGATTGGAGCAGTAAGGAAGAAATCGCTGAGCATAAGAGTATATGGGAGTCAGCATTTGAAGGAAATGGCAAGTGACAAAGACGAAGTCCCATCGCCATCTGTTGAAATCGAAGACATTGTTGGTTTCAGAAAGTCCCAACCTCTTCACGGGTCGTTCAGGGGATGCGGACAACCCAAACTGTGAGGGCTGAATGAAACTCATTTCTTTATACAAAGACAATATTGTATTTCTTTCATCCTTTTTCCGTTTGTAATAATAATATTTAGGTGAACCTTAAATTGTTCGAAAACAGAGTTTCAATCATCAAGAGAAAAACATTGATTACTCTACAGAATTTAGCCTTTGTCGAGAAAACCAGAGATTTGGAACCCATATATGTCTAGTTTTCGTTTAATAACCTATATTTCCAACTCATAACGTTTATAAACAGAAGGTAAGAGAAGGGGGAGAATAAAGTCTAAAGTCTATACTTGTCTCAAGCACCAGCTTTGTTTTTCATGCAATCTACTTAGAACATAGAGAAGCATAATAAAAGATAACAATCCATTTGATGCTTGTGTTAGTGGTTTATCTGCAGACTTGGTGCATATACAAAGGCGGTCCTGTCTTCCACCCTCTCCAGACACCTCTTGCTGCAATGGCATTTTGTTGTTACCATTGATCAGTTAAAACGAGATCATCAGGGTTTTTGTTTCTTTTGGTTGTTTGATCTGAATTCAATCTTTGCTTTACAGGATTGTTAGTGTAGTGTTCATAACGCTGAGGCTCTACTTAATTCTCTAAGAAAACAACACCTACTTGAGGAACACCGCAAGACTACAAGAGTACGTAATTCTGAATCTGCAGAGTACACGTTTGCACTCATGCAAACACAAAGCAATATTTCTTACACACAGACACAAGATTGGTTTCAAAACCACATAAGAACCGAAACAAGGAAGAAATCGCTGAGCATAAGAGTATAAGCGCGGTAGACAGCATTTGAAGGAAATGCTTGTGTTTCTGCAGTGTCAAAAAGTTTACACTTTCAGTGTAATTCATGAAATCAATGAAAAGATGATAAAATTGAATGAAGCCAAATCCTTTGATTTGGAAAAACTCGACCAACGTTGATGAATTCCGAATCAAAGCTATATAATTAATTAAAATCTATATTGGAGTATAACTCCTACAAACTTTGTATAAATTGTGGGTCTTTAATCCACACAACTCCTTATTTGCTAAACTGAAAGCAAAATGAAAAGAAAAGAAAAGAAAGAGGGCTTATTTAGACTTGTTGAAACTTTGGATCGGGGATCCGTTTGGCCTTGCTTCCTGATCTAGCCCCATCTTCGTAGATCTATCGTCAGTCTTGATGACCTCGCCGCTCGCCTTCGGGGCCAAAGTCGTCGAACGAACGATGTCCGCGACGCCGCGAGAAACTTCCTCCAGACTGATAACCTTGTTTCCCACCAACGACTCCGCCTTGGGAAACATGTGAGCCCGTTACAACCAAGACCTCGAGATCGGATTCGATTTCGACGGGAAAAAGTGCCTAGAGATTAAAGACTGATCAAAATGAGTCCAATTTTATGGATCGATTCGTTCTGATCCGACTAATCAGCCCTAATCGTTTTACTATTTGAATCCTAATACATTGATGGTTTAAATGAGCATGGGTCAATGGGTTGGGGGATCATACGGATTGTGTTATAATGATTTATAGTTAACCATTGACCTACTAAATTATCATACTTCACATCATCATTGTTTTCATTACTACCATCATCATATCATCTTGGTCGTACCATCATCATCATCATCATACTACCATAACTTTTCCGCTAAATACGGTTTTACAATTTTCCAAGAAAATATTCAAGATTTCATAATTTGTTTTCCATGCAATCTACTTAGAACACCGCCTTTGTTTTCCATGCAATCTACTTAGAACATAGAGAAACATAATTAAAGATAACAATCCATTTGATGAACAGAATTCTCCAGAAATGCTTGTGTATAATTTGTGGTTTATCTTCAGACATGTTGCATATACAAAGGCGCTCATGTCACCCACCCTCTCGAGACACTTCCTGTTGCTGCAATGGCGTTCCTTGTTGAAGTTGATCAGTTATACTCCACAAGTTAAACACACTGAAAACAAGATCATCGGGGTTTTGTTTCTTTTGGTTGTTCCATCTAAATTCAATCTTTGCTTTACAGGATTGTTGGTGTAGCTAGTGTTCATAACGCTGGGGCTCCTCTACTTAGTTCTTTAAGACAACAATTTCTTGAAACAACTACTTGAGGAACATCACAAGAGTAAGTTAATTCTGAAGCTGCAGAAGTAGGATCATACACTCAAAACACTTGGACGGTTGGACATGAATGGAAACGTAAGATATAATAATATGTTAATTAAGATAAAAGTTATCTTCATCTCATATATAGGGCCTAAACGGCTTAGACACTACTCGGGGTAGTCCCATCTCCGGCGGCCGAATCCTGCTCGACCAACTTCTTCGTCGTACTAGCTCTATCGCGGCTCGCCTTCATCAAAATCTCAGATATGATGTTCTTGATGGCGAGAATGTGTTCCTCGTTAAAAGCTGGCCGTGGAACATTATTCATGATTAAGCTCGCCTTCGAAACTATCCCCTCCAGCTCCAGGTCAACCATCTCAGATCTGGTGGCTTTCTTGACGGCGAGACGGTGATCCTCGTCAAACATAAGCTGCTGATCATGATCATTATTCATGACTATCTTACCGCTGGCCTTTGAAACCATCCCCTTCCGGTCAACCATCTCAGATCTGGTGGCTTTCTCGAGGGCGAGACGGTGTTCCTCCTGCTTCCGCCTGTTTTCCATAAACAAAAGCAGTTGCTCCTTATTCATGACAATCTTACCGTTCTCCGTCTCATCGTCCATAACGGGAAATGAGCTCGATCAGTACAGTTTGCAGAAAGCCCTCGACGGAGCGCAATAATTAACACTTTCTTCTGGAAATGAAAGAGAAGCTAGACAATTTGAAAAACCCTAGGGTTTTACGTTGTTGTTTGGGTTGCACGGCCTAATATATTCCTCTTTTACGAATGGGCCAAAAAGCCCATTAATAGATTTCCGCTTGTTTTATATAAGATGGAAACTTTTAGTGAAAAAAAAAAAAAAAATTTTTTTAGAAAAGCCTAGAAACTAAAAAGGGCAAATCCAACCAAAACCGAAGTGAAATGTAAATTTAATTATTTTGAAATAAAAAGATGTCGTAATTTTTTAAAAAGTAGTTCCATAAAAATGTTATTTTGTAACCTTCCTTTTTTTTTTTAATGAAAATAGTTATATTGATGATGTCCATAACATTATAGTGGAAATTCGTTAATTGTATAATAATTTCATCCTCGTATCTTTATTTTTTACTATTTCTATAGTAAGTAATATTTATTTGTCGGCTATAGTAAAAGTATTAAACATTTTCGTATATAAAAAATGCATTTTTATAATATTAAAGCTTTGCTTCATGTGATGGCGTTGCCTGGTCCTACAGAGAATACATCAAGAATTACTGTTTAGTTGTCTCTTTGGTTTGGTGATAAAGAAAAAAAAAACCAAAGTTTTGCAATTGCATTGACCTTACCAGCTCACAGAGACTCTCAAACTTCGCTTTCCAATCAAAGCTCTTTTGCATTGCATTCAAGCTTAAGCAACAACAACAACAACAACAACCGCATTACATTCACTTGTAGACAAGACACGAATCCAACAATTTAATTTTTGTTCTGGTCGAAAAATTCACAAATCTCAGGTTCTGATTTAGAAGTTTTAAAGTTGTGAGCTTGTTTGATCCGATGTTGGTTCAGGATCGTGCAGCGCCTTTTCCTGCCAAGCCGCCGAAATCTCAGATCAGAGAACTACCTACTCATCAACAGATCCGACGACGATTCAGTGAACCCAAAAACCTAGATTTCTCGACTTGGTTCTCTGAGAATCTCTCTAGAATTGCTGTCTTCTCTCTCTTAATCGTCACCATAGTAGCTCTTTTCTTCCTCTACAACACCACCGACACTGCTTCTCTCCTTTGTTTCCAGTCTCAGTCAACTCAGTCGCTTCAATCTCTCTCTCGCCCTCAAATCAAGTGGAATTCGATCCGAGTCGTTCCTGACAAGACCTCTCCTTACGCTAATTTCCAGACAGAGAAATGGATTGTGGTGTCGGTGACCAAGTACCCAACTGAGGAGCTCAAGAGTTTGGTGAAGATTCGTGGATGGCAGGTTCTGGCGATAGGAAACTCGGTGACACCGAAAGATTGGAGTCTTAAAGGTTCGATCTTTTTGTCTCTCGATGCTCAAGCTGAATTGGGTTATCGAGTTTTAGATCACTTGCCTTATGATTCTTTCGTGCGGAAGAGTGTCGGTTACTTGTTCGCGATCCAGCACGGTGCGAAGAAGATCTATGATGCGGATGATCGTGGTGAAGTGATTGATGGAGATCTAGGGAAGCATTTTGATGTTGAGTTAGTTGGTGTAGACTCTAAGCAAGAACCGATTTTGCAGTATAGTCATGAGAACCCCAATAGGACTGTGGTTAATCCTTATATTCATTTCGGGCAACGTTCGGTTTGGCCTAGAGGTTTGCCATTAGAGAATGTAGGTGAGATCAATCATGAGGAGTATTACACTGAGGTTTTTGGTGGTAAGCAGTTTATACAGCAAGGGATTTCCAACGGTTTACCGGATGTTGATTCGGTGTTTTACTTCACTAGGAAAACGACTTTAGAAGCTTTTGATATTAGGTTCGATGAGCATTCTCCGAAAGTTGCTTTGCCTCAAGGTGTGATGGTGCCTGTTAATTCGTTTAACACTCTTTACCATTCGTCAGCCTTTTGGGGTTTAATGCTTCCTGTTTCGGTTAGTTCTATGGCTTCTGATGTGTTGAGAGGTTACTGGGGACAAAGGCTTTTGTGGGAGCTTGGTGGTTATGTTGCTGTTTATCCACCTACGGCTCACCGGTTTGATAGAATCGAGGCGTACCCTTTTGTGGAGGAGAAGGATCTTCATATTAATGTTGGTCGTTTGATCAAGTTCTTACTTGCTTGGAGATCAGAGAAGCATAGTTTCTTTGAGACCATCCTTGATTTGAGCTTTGCTATGGCTGAAGAAGGGTTTTGGACTGAACAGGATTTAAAATTCACAGCTGCTTGGCTTCAGGATTTGATTGCTGTTGGGTACCAACAACCGAGATTGATGTCGCTGGAATTGGATCGCCCGCGAGCAAGTATCGGTCATGGAGATAGAAAAGAGTTTGTTCCAAGGAAGTTGCCTTCGGTACATCTCGGGGTTGAGGAGACCGGCACAGTGAGCACTGAAATAGGGAACTTGATTAGGTGGAGGAAGAATTTTGGGAATGTTGTGCTGGTTATGTTTTGTAACGGTCCGGTTGAACGCACCGCACTCGAGTGGAGGTTACTTTACGGCCGGATATTCAAAACTGTTGTGATATTGTCTTCTCAGAAGAACTCAGATCTCTATGTCGAAGAAGCCAAACTCGATCACATTTACAAGTATGAATTTCCTCAAAGATTAGTATGTATATGTTGATTAAAGTTCAAGCTTCTAATGGTAAGTTTGTATGTATATTTCAGGCATCTTCCGAAGATATTTGATCGATACAGCAGCGCAGAAGGATTTTTGTTTGTTGAAGATGATACAGTTCTCAATTACTGGAATCTACTTCAAGCTGACAAATCTAAGATTTGGACTACAGACAAGGTACAACATTTTCATCAAATTTTCAGCTTTATTCTAATTCCTATCTCGATATGTGTATCTGACAAGGTAACTTCTTGTTGTAAACTGGCGATTTAGGTATCAAAGTCATGGACATCAGTGAAACCGACCGGAAACTCTGATTGGTTTTCTGTACAAGCAGAGTTAGTGAAGAAAACTGTAAATACAATGCCAGCTCATTTCCAAGTTAACTACAAGGACGCCACCAAGAACAATCATGAGACCTTAACAGTTTGCAGTTCAGAGGTATTCTACGTGCCTAAACGACTAGTAACTGACTTTATCGATCTTGTTGATCTCGTGGGTGATATGGACTTGCATTACAAAGTGGCTGTGCCAATGTTCTTCTTGTCGATGGATTCACCTCAGAATTTTGACCCGGTTCTTGGTTCAATGGTATATAAGAGGAAATCAGCTTCGTTTAACACTTCTTCGAGTCTGTATTCTGCTAAAGCACCTGCGGTTCACCCATGGAGTATATCAAGCGAACAAGATTTCATCAAATTGGTTCAGCAAATGGCTGAGGGCGACCCGCTTCTGATGGAATTGGTATGATGGACTCAGGGTATAGAACTTGCAGTAATGCAATGATAGAAAAAGAGTTATACAAAAATTGTGTCTTTGATTCTTTTCTTATTGGTTCCCTTTTCAGAAATTTTTTTCTTCTGGGGGTTGTGGAGAAAGTCATGTAATGTTCCATTGTAACCATTCGTTTTGTGAGTGTATAATGTTTCCCCATCTAATATCAGTCTCTGCTTCATCAATGAAGACAAAAACAAATGTTTCAGACAACAGGAAACAAGCCTCTGTTTTTACAAGTTATGACACAGTTTTGTTCCCACAAAAAAAAGACTTGGAATGCTAAGGAAGCTTGGTGAAGAGATCCTGAAGCTGAGTGTGGCTCACCACAACACCAAGTTTCTGCGAAATCGCCGCTCTCACTGTTTCAGCATCCAAGCTCGACAATGTATCCGCACCGCTCATGGCAATGTACTCGCTCAAATTGTGCAAAATTCCGTCTTCAGAAGCAAGACAAGAGCCAGCTGAGCAAATGAATATTGTTGATGAAAGGATGAAAAGTTACATCTTACCTTGGGCAACAATGGGTTCATAGGGTGGAGGTTGAGCAGTCCAACTTCCATCAGGCTCTTTCATGTGTCTTCTATCAGAAGCAAAGTGCTTAAAGAACAGAGGAGCATGAACAATGCGGAAGAACCTGATCTCAACAAAAACAAAAAGACAAAACCAGCTTACACTACATGATGCTGAATTTCCTACCCAAATCTATATTGCTTGACATAAAATAACCGAAACACTTTGCCGTGCCTTTCATAAACAGTTTTGCAGATATATATAAGTTTCAGGAACACAAGAAGATAAAGAAGCCTATAGTTAGTTTCTCGGTGATAGAAAAGTAAAGGGAATAAAAGGCTACTGCTTTGGCATCCTGATATCTATTACTTGGTGGTACAGTGATGTGAAAGTTAGATTACCTCTGGTAGTCTGCGAAAAGCTGAAAAGATGGCTGGATAGTTTCAGTCACATATGAGGCTAAGGGTGAAGGGAAGGGCAAAGTCGAATCAAGATCCCACACCAAAGGCTCAGAATCACTTTCTTTCTTCCTCTATTCAATATTCATGCAAATACAAAACCAAAACTAAGTTCAATTCTAAAAACTGGCATCACTGGTTTTGGACATTATAGATCTACCTGGACACAGATGACATGATAATCCCACAGTACAACCCCATCAGCTCTGCTACTAGCTTTCTGATGCCAAAGTGGAACCTACAAGAACATCTAATCAACATATCAATATAACGGACATCGAAATATAAACGACTTCAAAATCAACAATCAAGAGCCGTGAAACAGTCCAACACCAAACAAGACCAAAGAATTATAAATTACAGTGGAACAAAGATTAGTAATAAGAGAAACATGCTTGCCTGCTTCTTCTCATTCGAGATAAAAACAACAAACAAATCAGAACTCGTTGCATCCGCTACTCCATTCTCGCACAACGTCTTGCAGAGCAGATACACGTTCTCTTCGCTACAATAATTCAACAGAAAAGAAAAAAGTCAACATCTTTTTCTTATGTTCTGCTTCTTGTACCAATAAGGTAAAATAATCACCAAAGACAGAAGATATTCCAAAATAGGAACGAAATCAACTACAACCCTCTAAAACGATTAATCTGGATTAGGAAATTTCATAAAACATGTAGAAGACACCGTTCTATCATTTGAAGAAACCTAAATCGATGAGAAATTTTGTTTGAAAAGAAAAAGTACCAGTAGTAGGGAGTGTGCTGGAACCGAGTGGCATCCATTGCAATAAGCTCCGAGGTGACGCCGGACATTTTCTCTTTGGATTTGATCAGAGCTCTTCTCTAATTTTCCTACTTCCACCAACTTCGATCATCTAATCGTCAGAACTAAAAAGTGGTCGGTACAATTGGGTAAATGGTGACCGGAGAAGAAACAGAGAATAAAAAAGTCGATGTATCGTGAATAGACCAAACGACGCCGTAACATGAATATCAATCGTATAATAGACTAGATGACGTCGTTCGCAAATTCAGTTCAAAACAATGCCGTATTAATAATAGACAAAACGACGACGTATAGTTAATTTTTTATTCTTTCTAATTTCCCATTAATATCGGAATCGCTCGCGTGACAGAGCAGTGACGATGGAGGAGGAGCAAGACGCACATCATCGCCGGCAGATCTGCAACAACTGCGATCGTCCAAACGCGATTTGTCTCTGCCACGTCTTACCTTCGGATCTAATTCCGACGAATACAGAGATCATCATCCTCCACCATCCACACGAGTCACGCCACAAACTCAACACCACACCTCTCCTTACCAAATCCTTGCGAAACGTCACCAGAATCCCCGCCCGCCGTATCCTCCGCCGTCACATCTCCACCGGCATAGAAACCTCTTCCCCATCACCACCAACAATCTACCTCTTCCCTTCTTCTCCTTCCTCTCCCGCCATCACTATATCCGAATTCAAATCCCGAAACCTCTTAAACCATCGAGAGATTTCAAATCCGCCGCCGCTGAGACTCATCGTATTCGACGCGACATGGAAGCACGCGAAGGAGATGGTAAAATCTAGCGAGGAGGTTTTAAAAAAAGCAGGAGCGGTTAGAGTGTGTTTGGATACGGAAGTAGACGCATCTGTGAGCGGAGGAACCATTTACGATTCAGAGCTTGTGCTAAGGAAGGAACCATTTGGAGGATGTGTAACTACGGCGGAGGCAGTGGCACGGTGCTTAGGGGCCATTGAACCTGACGGTGAAGAAATCGAGAGGAAGCTGATTAGTGTTTTGAAAGAGATGGTTAGGTTTCAATCTAAGTTCTTAAAGCCCATGAAACCAAGACCTAAGTTATTGAAGAAGAGATTTCAGAATCAGCAACCACTTGAACAAGAAGAAGAACAAGAACGAGTTTCGTCCTTAGTTTTAAAAATCTAGTTTAATAAAGATTTTGCTCTATGATTGTTGATGACATTTTTGTTACATTAGTTAATATTACATAATTCTGTGATTTCTCAAACTTATTCACATTTTTTGCGAAGTTGGAGTAAACAAATCAATCAGTATATCTTTTTTTTTTTGTGTGGAACAGATAGATTATTATGAACTTTATAAACTAGAAAAGAAGAAGTTATGGGACGTGGGACCTTCTTCCATGTGAAGTGAGAAATAGAGGTGAGATCATGGACGGTTTTTTGATCATATAACTGTAGAGATTTATAAATGAAGGTGACACTTTTTTTAACTACACACTCATTGACTCACATGATATGTTTTTTAGGCTTTTTAGTACCGATGTTATAATAGATGCCTAATTCCTAAAGCACATAATGTTCAATCATTAAAAGGAGTCGTTTTTTGGTATTTGGTTCGAATGTTGGTCGCTCATGACTACAAAATGAATATTGCTAATCGATATCGTTGGTCGATGGCCTAGCTAATAACTTCAAAACAAACATGATCTATATGCTGCGTAAGGGAAACTCATCACAAATACTAATTTCAGAATTAGATAAATTCTGAATTAAAAGCTCAAAACTTATTAGTTAAGAAAAAGAGATGAAACTGCTAAGTCACGATTTCAACTTTAATTTGTTAGGTTGCATCTTACTTAACTACATTAGTTTTGGTCCACGTTTAACCCGAGTCTGTTCATTCTATATTTTCTATGCAATCAAAATTATACTCTTATCATCTCTTCATAGTGTTTACTTAACATTTATATATTTTTGATACCGATTATATTACCATGCATGTTACATTTCTCGACTTTTTAAAACACATATTTTCTTTCATTTGACTCGGTGTGGACATTTTAAGTATGTAACTGATTGAAGTTATCCACTTTATTCATTTTTACGTATTCCTTAATTTATGATGGAGTGACCTTCAATTCTAATTTTTATTCATTTCTTCATGATAGTACAAGTTAATAATTTTATCTGTTCTCGATTTTTTTTTTTCTTACGTGAAGTTGACCCGGCAACACACAACGATCAATTTATCGAGTATAGTAACTTTGTTTTTAACACCTTAAAACATTCACTGATATTGTGAAATAGGCTACGGGAGATGGATTTGGATCCTAGTTAAGTGCATGGTAGTCGAAAGTATGTTATGTACCATCGGTCATATATATAGAAGCTACACTTTGTCCCTTCTTTTGGGAGGTTTCAAGTGTATCATATGCGAATGAGACTATCAAAATGTTAATATAAATGGAAAACGGTGAACTTTAAATGCATAATTAGATTAGAGAAGTTGGTAGATGGTTGTAAGAATTTGAACAAACTCTAGTTGGCAAAGCATTGATGGTAGCTGATTCTGAAATCTCTTCTTCAAAGTATTTACGATTATACATGCCATAACTTTTTTTTTTTTGTGTGTTGAAAACGAGAGTAGAGAAAAAAGGAGTATTATCCATCCATGACATCTGCCAAAAGCGTAAAAGTAGAAAAGAAGGCTGTTCTATATTTATCTGGTTATTGTATATTATTCATGAATCATGATTGTTGTTTTTTGTTAAAGAGTATATTTTTACGAAGAAATACTATATAGTATGTTCTTTTAATATACGGAAAGTGCTTATCCTTCAAAAGGAGATCAATCGTGCAAATTCACATGCTAAAAAAGGACATCGTGTCATGCTGAAATAGCGAAATGATGAGACCAATCTCTCCAAATCTAATTTATTCTGAAATACTTTTCTTTTTCCAACATTCTATATGATATTGTGTGTATAGTGCATTTGGATAGTTTTTAATTTGTGTTGAAAGATCTAATACGGTCTTAAACCTACATAGGTGATATCCAAATCAAGTACGATTTCACCTATCTTTTCTTGCAAATATTTGCATAATTATTTTGTCAATGTTTATATATAACTAGGTTGGTAGCCAGTGGCGGATCTAGAGAAAAAATTTAGCGGGGGCAAACGATAATCAAAATTTTTGTTAACTAAATTAATTTTTCTTGTAAGTACGTTATACAATATAGTTTGTATATAGGTAAAATAATTCATATTTTCCAGGGTTACGAAAGATACTGTACATACTTTTTTTTTTTGAAGCATAGAGGTATTTCTTTCACTTATGAATAGAGATAATCATATTCAAAAGATTTAAGAAGAAAAATGTTATTCTTAATCCATCAAATATTTTGCATCAAAGCATTGATTAATTTGTCCATCAAAGAAGTTACGTTGAAGGAAAAAAATGATTTTATATAAAAAGAAATAATGGTTTAGTGTGCAAAACAAATAAGGAAAAACCATATTGCTAATAGAAATATAATAAATGGCCAAGTAAAAATGGAAATAATGGAAAAGTAAATTGAGTTTGGAGAATGATTGTCTTACGTGGGGGCAAAACATATTTTTCAAAGGGGGCAACTTAATTAACTCCTTAACATTTAAAAGGAAATTGAAAATTTTAGGGGGGGGGGCAGCTGCCCCCAACTTACCTTATGTAGATCCGCCCCTGTTGGTAGCTATTTATGGTACAACAAATCCAATAAATGTATGAAAGTTTATTTACGATTAAATGCAATATATATTTCATAACAAAATTAGCGACGTTTCCAATTATAATCATGTTTGTTAACAAAATACAAAAGAAAAAACATTGATAAATCATAGTATAGAATGAACTACTTTTTTCCAATTATATTATATTAAAATCCAAAATATAGGTAAATATCAATGAAAATAGCTTAAAATAGATAAACTTATGTTATTTTATTTCCTATTGCTATTTATTCATTTACTTTTGTAATAAATTTTCTAATAGTAATTTATGTTTATGTGAGCTGGATGGTTTAAACTCCCATGTATTCCCAAATTTCAAAAAATTTGGGATTAATGTGGATTATTTGGAATAAAAAAAAGTGTGGTAAAAAAAGAAAAAAAGGCAAAACAAGATTGGTCGGGTGGAAATGGAATCACGACCGGATCTAATTTTTTGGCCTTAAAAATTGACAGACTCTTCTTAAACGTCTTTTCTCAGACATTTGTCTTCCTCTATCTTCTTCGTCTTCTTCGACCTCGTCGTCTGGCAGTAATTCAATCTCTCTCTACTGTAATAAATCTAAGGAAACAAAAAAACGTTACGAAAGAAAAAGCATTAAAAAAAAAAGCTAAAGAGAGAGAAACGTAATAAAAAACACAGCTCACAACCTCTTTTCAATTATTCAATTTAGCTTATTTCTCTTCTTCTTCTTCATCTTCATCTTCCCTCGTCTTCTTTGCCAGTTCTTCTTCATCTTTCGTCGTTTTCTTAGTGCCACCCAAAGATCTTCGTGCAGGTTCGTGCTTTTTTATACCTCGATCGATTTTGACTAATGGGTAAATGTATGGATCATCTGATCTTCGATTTGATCGTGTTCATTCCTTGCTCTGTTTCCCTTTAATCTGATATTCTCGATCTGGCTGCGTCCTTGTTCTTCTCAGCTTATATTGTTATTATTTATCGCTTCCTTCTCGGTGCTGGGTCTTCTGAATCACATTTGATCAATTCCTCAAAATCGCAAAAGTTTGATTTTTTCTATTTCTAAAGCCTGATCGAGCCAAAGTGTCTGACTCTCTGTAGACTTTGCCTGTTTCTAGCTTTCGAGATTTGATTTAGAGTTTTCTAGATGATTCTCAAATTATAATTACAGAATTGACCAATGCTTTGCTTGAGAAACAGCTGCATAACAGATTTTTGAGATCATTCATCTCCAAGTAAATGGGAGGATTTGGTTGATTATATCTTCTCATTTTATTAACTCTGTTCCCTATATTGTTTTTGATTCAACAGGGCCATTGGCGTCTCTAGTACATAAAATTTCACTCACACACAAAAAAAGATTTGACTGTTACACAAAATGTCAACAAAAGTGCTGGATCCTGCATTTCAAGGAGCTGGGCAAAAACCGTATCCTTTCATCAACACCACTACTTTCTCATTAGTGTTAGATATCAAAGGAGCAATCTTATTATTTTTTCCTGAATGTTTGGACTGTTTGAGCTTGTGAGCCTTAACATTTGTTACTAGAGGGACTGAAATCTGGAGAATAGAGAATTTCGAGGCAGTTCCGGTACCAAAGTCTGAGCATGGAAAGTTCTATATGGGAGATACTTACATTGTCTTGCAGGTTTGCAATTCTTTTCATTGCTCTTTTCTTTTTTTCTGTTTTCTGTGTTCTACATATACTCCCCTAAGTAGCTTGTTCGATGAAATATTTAGTTATTATCTCTTACAAGACAGACTAACTTATGTTTGAGAAATGGTTCTCTTCCTTTTCCGCAGACAACACAGAATAAAGGGGGTGCTTATTTGTTTGATATACATTTCTGGATTGGTAAAGATACAAGCCAGGTACCTATCTCCAAGACTCTTTTATTTAGTAACGACTGTTTTTTGGAAGAGAAGCAAAGGTGAAACAGTGTTTTACTAACTTATGTTTTGATGATTTTAGGATGAAGCTGGAACAGCAGCTGTTAAAACAGTTGAACTCGATGCAGTTCTTGGAGGCCGTGCTGTCCAACACCGGGAAATTCAGGGTCATGAGTCTGACAAATTCTTGTCTTACTTCAAGCCATGTATTATACCGTTAGAGGGTGGTGTTGCCTCTGGTTTCAAAACACCTGAAGAAGAGGTGTTTGAGACCCGGTTATATACTTGCAAAGGAAAACGTGCTATCCGTTTGAAGCAGGTTTTAACTATTGTACTCTCTTTGCATTAGAACGGAGTGAACGGTGATTACCAATGTACATTAACTTTTTCTTCTGTTCCTTTTTTTAAAGGTTCCCTTTGCCCGCTCATCACTGAATCATGATGATGTATTTATCTTGGACACCGAGGAAAAGATCTATCAGTTCAATGGTGCAAATTCAAACATTCAGGAGAGAGCCAAAGCTTTGGAAGTCGTTCAGTATTTGAAAGACAAGTATCACGAAGGAACTTGTGATGTTGCGATTGTT